TTCAAGCAACGGTTTAAAAATATCTCTTCAGGGGCTGGGAAGGTGGCTCAGTGGTAGAGCGCTTGCCTTGCATGCATTAGGCCCTGGGTTCAATTCCTCAGCACCACATAAGCAGAAAAAACCAGAAGTGGCACTGTAGCTCAAATGGTATAGCGCTAGCCTTGAGCTGAATAGCTGAGGGACAGTGCCCAGACCCAGAGTTCAGGCCCCACAACCACCACCACCACCAACAAAACACACACACACCTCTGCAGTAAGAAAAACTAGATCGGATTGAACGAGACTGGATGGGATTACAGACGGAAATGCATGTAATAAGGGAATGTAGAGAAATATGTCTGGCTTTGATGAAGATCAGAGAAAGATAAGGATAAGGAAAGGTTTGTTAAGAGGTAGCATAGAAAACAGCAAATTCCCTGCCACAAAAAGGCCCATTAAGGCTAATGTATTTTTACCTGGGAGAGGCTATAATAAGGTGGCATTATAGATACAGACTGTAGTTAATATGGTGATTTACCACTAAAGAATTTTAAGCAAGGAGAAATATTTTATTTTAAAATGATAACTGATGGCAAAGAGAAAAAAAATATTATTCAACATACATGTGGAGGAAAAGAAATGAGGGCTTTTGCTTAAGTGTAAAGAGATATTTTGAATTGGAATCTGGAGGTTTTAGTGGAGAAAGAGAAAAATCAAATTATCCAAGATATTTTTTGAATTCATGATACAAACTTTGTGGTGGATTGGAAAACAGTGATAATAAATAGATGTAAGTGGGGGAAAAACAAAGGAGGAGGTAACAATGCTTGATAGGAAATGTGTTTATTACCTTACTCATGATACTGTAACCTCTCTATATAGTACTTTTACAATAAAAAAATATATAAAAAACAAAAAAAAAGAAATAGACGTAGTAAATAGTAGGTGTAGGGTTTTCCATTTGAACAATGATTTAAAGAAAAAAAGTAGATAATGACCACTGACAAATATCAAGAGTGATGAGGCGAGAATCCAGTTTCTAGCATTTTGGGGATGATTCTGTGTGACTGTCCATTCACCTTCAGCTGGAAGTAGCCCTGTTGTTGGGGAGATGTAGTCTCTGAGAGTATGTAGGGTTTTTCTCAGGCCACACAGCTGCTTCTTGAGATTTTATGCCATATGAATTTGGGGATGACCTGAACGTATGAAAGGCTTTGTGCTTTCAGTTATCTTTCATAGTATCTTGATAAACAAAAGATGTAGGTTGCCAACTCATTTCTTTATCATTGAAAAACACCACAGTTATCTTTACAAAACTAGTAATTGTTATAAATATTTATCCTATATACTACATGCAAAATAAAAAACATATTTTGAAATGTTTTATAGAAAATGCCATCACAAAATTCTAAAAAGAAAAAACGAAACATTTGTTTGCAACTATTTTGATACATGGAGACATAAGGATTTTTAGAAAATGTAATATTGATCCCAGGAGTTAATTATAATATCTAAATATAAATTACTAAATAATTTTAAGTGATGTCTGTACAGTGATGTTTTAAGAGAAAATTTCTAGTATTTTCATGGGAAACAGTGATTGACTATTACAGGGACCATTCCTGGACCATTAATCTTTGAATGGACAATACGAAGTTCATGTACTTTTCGAGACGCTAATATATGTGGACACAAAGGACGTTGTTGGATCTATAACAAGATGAAAATGGCCTCCATATGGGTGGGAATATGTAAGTGACACACATTATAGAAATTTAGAGAAGTAAAATGGTTTTTAAATTTGTAGTTTTGAAGCTGGGTGCCAATGGCTCACTCCTGTAATCCTATCTACTCAGGAGGCTGACATCTGAGAATCAAAGTTCAAAGCCAAGGCAGGAAAGTCCATGAGACTGTTATCTCCAATTAAGCACCAGAAAACCAGAAGTGGTACTGTATGGTTCAAGTGGTAGAGTGCTTGCCTTGAGCTGAAGAGCTTAGGGACAGCGCCCAGGCCCAGAGTTCAAGCCCCATGACCAACAACAACAAAAAATAATAATAATTGTCATTTTCACAAATAGGTACTTTGAAAATTAAAAGAGGCTTATCATTTGGCTTTATAGAAAACTATTTTAGAAATAAGTACTGTGTAATTCATGGAAAATTTGTATTATTTAATATTGTATTAAATATACTGTAATTCTATGTTATTCCTGAGAAAACATAGCAATTAGTGGATTTGCAATTTCAATTGGGTAAGTAATTTTCTTTGTACATATATACAACCAAGTGCTTACCTTTAGGAGCCTTTCCAGTTTCACAGTAAAAGATTTTAAAAATGGAGGAATTGATAGCACCAAAAATCACCAAAATACTGTTATCTAAGTCAAGCCTAAATTTTATGTTTTCTCTCTGTCTTTTCCCCCCTTCTATGGTAGTACCTAGAATATAGTAAATATTTAGTTTTTGTTGAATAGATAAAACATATAGTGAGCATGGAAGCTGTGGTGGTAGCTTCTAGGGTCAAAATGTAGGGAAAGTCTAGCAGTGTTTATATTTCTCTGGAAAATTCACTAGATCTTTCTGGAAACCTGAAATTAAATTTAAAGCCAGTGGTTTACACCTGTAATACTAGCTACTCATGGAGGCTGAGGATCTTGGTTCAAAGCCAGCCCAGGAAAGAAAGTCTTTGAGACTCTTATCTCCAACAAACTACTCAGAAAAAGCCAGAAGTGCTACAGTGGCTCAAGCGGTGGAGTGCTAGCCTTGAGCACAAAGAAGCTCAGGGACAACACCCAAGCCATGAGTTCAAGCCCCAGGACAGGCAAAAAAAAAAAAAAAATACAGCTCTCCAGGATCAGGCCTTCAACCAACAAGCCCTTGAGTGAACGAACTACATCCAGCATACCTGGACCCCCAAGGCTCATGTCGGTCTCACAATGTAAAATGTGATTATTCCATCGCCTCGTTCAAAACTCTTAATTCATTGCAGTATCACACCAAAGTCCAAGTCCACAGTCTCTTCCCATACTCATTCACAAGTCCTTATCAAAACATTATATGGTTCCAATTTACAATATTCAGATAGGAAGAGGACTAATATTCCTATTTCAAAAGAGAACTTAGGAAGCACAAGCTAGTAATGGGTCCTGACCAGCAAGGCAGACAAACTTTACAGCTCCAAGCCTAGAATAGTATAACTACTGTGTTGAAGAGTTGACTACCACCTCAGCGCCACAGATAGCCCTGCTCCTATGCGTTGGCTGATCACAGGTTACATGGCGATTCTTTTGCAATGCCCACAGCTTTCCTTGGTGATGGTGTGTGTTGCTGATTGTGCTACCTTTCCAGTGTCCCTACCACTTTCCTTGTCATTGCTCCATAGGGGTCTTCAAAGCAGATTCCAGCTAGCTACAAGTGCTTTTCTTTGAAAAGCCGTATCTCATCAATCTTACATTTTGTTTACCTGCAAACCTAGAAGTACACAGACAACAAGGTTTTTTTGGGTTTTTGTTCTTAATATACATATTTTATTAAAGATACTGTACAGAGGGATTACAGTTACATGAGCCAAGGTAATGAGTCCATTTCCTATCCAGCATTGTTACACCCTCCTTTATTTGTCCCCTACCATCCCTTTCCTCCCCACCTCCCCAGCTCTTTCCTCCCTTCTCCCTCCCCAGCCAGCAAAGTTGTAAAGTTTTTTTTCAACATATTGTTTTGTACATCTCAGTGTTACAGTGGGACAAGTTTTAAAAGGAACTGTTTGCTGTGGTTTTTGGCTCTTCTTAATACTCTCATATATTTTGCCTGCTTCTAATTTTTTCTTCATGGAAGATCCACTGACTTCTTAATTCACAACTGCTCAACTTTTCCTCAAAAACTAGATTTCTTAGAGAATTCACTGCAATAATTTACTACTTTGTAATATCATTATAGTAACTGTATCAGATATAATTAGGTCACAAAATGATGGTCTCTGTTTAAATATATAAAATATTTTAGTCATGAATCCTTAATGTTCCCTATTTAATCTCTATGTCAGATAATTGCTCTACCGTATTGTTCCCTTTCATTATCAGGGGTGTTCACATCTTCAGTTTAAATACTTTTATATAATGTTTGAATTAATGCTCTGAAATTTGAAATATAAAATGAAAGTAAATAACTACAAAGCAATTCTATTTTCTCTATCTTTTTAATATATATTTTATTGTAAAGATACTGTAGAGAGGGGTTACAGTTACATGAGCAAGGTAATGAGTCCATTTCCTATTGAGCATTGTTATCTTCTCCTTTGTTTTTCCCCTACCATCCCTTCCCTCCCAACTCCCCAACTCCTCCCCCTACCCCAGGGGTGTAAAGGTCATTTTCAACATAGTGTCTTGTACATCCCATTGTTACAATGGGTCCTTATATCAGCAGTTTGTTATTTCCCTTCCCATAACCAAATTAGAAACAGATAGATAGATAGATAGATAGATAGATAGATAGATAGATAGATAGATAGATAGATAGATAGATAGATAGATATGATGCAGGACACCGGAATCAAATACAGTGACAACAGGGGTTATAACATGGGGAAAGAACATGCAACAAAAAAAATCACACAGTATATTATAAGTACATTAACAAGAACATCAAGAAAGATAAAATCTCTTGTGTCCCTATCTTGGGATTCATTTTGTTTAGCATCAGCTTATATTGTCATATGACATAGCTTTTGACCTCTTCTGCTTGTCCTGGACATATACTAGTTATTGCAGATAAGGGAAACCATGGGACCTATGTTTTTTTTGGGTCTGGCTTACTTCACTTAATATAATTTTTTATATTTGTCTTTGAGAAATAAGAAACATTTAAAAATTGAAGCTGCATGAAGGTTTTTAATTTAACATGTCAGCTTATTTTTTTTAATACATCTTGATTTCCTTTAGGTAGTGTACAAAGGAGTTGTCATTCAACAGAGCAGTTTTTGAATACAGTGCTTTTAACATTCTCAATCGACCCTCCCACTCCACTCCTTCCTTCCCTCTTCTTAATTTATATGTTATATATTGATTTTTTTTGCCACTTAACGAGGCAATTTATGTATACAGTGAAGCTAGATCTGTGTCATATCTTTAACATCTTCACTCCCTCTTTTATACCCACTCTTTCCCCTTATTTTTCGAGTTCTGCTTTAAACAGGCCACAGATCCCATTTTGAAGGGATAGTCTACTTTGTGTGCTTGTGTGTGTGTATGTGTGTGTTCGAGCGTGCACACACACGAGCCTTGAAATCAAGGTCTGGGTACTATGTCTGTGTTTCTGTTTGTTTATTTTTTTTTTGTGGGTCATGGGGCTTAAACTCTGGGCCTGGGCGCTGTCCCTCAGCTCTTCAGCTCAAGGTGAGCACTCTACCACTTGAGCTACAGCGCCACTTCCGGTTTTCTGGTGGTTTATTGGAGATAGGAGTCTCAAGGTCTCTCCTGCCTGGGCTGGCTTTGAACCGCGATCCTCAGATCACTGCCTCCTGAGTAGCTAGTATTACAGGCGTGAGCCACCAGCGCTCCGCTTGTTTTTCTTTAGGAGTAAAATTCTACCACTTCTTGGTGTTTAATTGGAGATAAGTGTTGTAGATTCTTCTACCCTGGCTGGCTTTGAACTGTGATCCTCAGACTTCAACCTCCTTAATACCTAGGATTACAAGTGTGAGCAACTGGAGCCCAGCAAGGACAACTTACTTTTATGTTTTAGAATTCACACACTGTAAATGCTTATAAGCATTTTTATTTTCATTTAAGTAATTTTAAATACGTTTGTAACATCAATTATATTTTATAACTAGGGAATTTATGCCCGCAGAGATGAATAATGTTTCTTTTGCTTAGTAAATGATGTTCTTTTTATGAATACTTTCATTGAAAATAAATTTACAGCAAGATCACTGCATGTTTTCAAATTCAGGTTTTTTCTGCAAATTATATACCATCTTACTCTCTGGTATTGGACTTCACCTAATGAACCGTTTTAAAAAGGAAAGCATAGATGACCTGTCTGTAACCATGAAATCAAAGAAAGAAAGAAAATAATTAATATATAACTGGATTCATTAAGTAAGAACTTCCCATTTTCTTCTTTTATTATCTTTATGTAGTTGTACAAAGGGGTTGCCACTTAACAAAGCAGTTTGTGAATACATTTTTTTATTTAAAAAAAAATTTATAGTGAAAACACTGTACAGAGGGGTTGCAATGACATGGGCAAGATAATGAGTATATTTCTTATCAAGCATTGTAGCCTCCTCCTTTGTTTCTGATTCCCATCCTATCCTCCTCCACCCCCTCACCAAGCCCTCCTTCCCCCCCACCAAAGTTGTAAAGTTACATCTTGATGTATTCTTTCACCCTTCCCTCTCCAACCCACCGCTTGCCTCCCTCTTCTTGATTTTGTAGTATGTACATTGTATTCTTTTTTTTTTTTTTGTCGGTCATGGGGCTTGAACTCTGGGTCTGGGCGCTGTCCCTCAGCTCTTCAGCGCAAGGCGAGCGCTCTACCACTTGAGCTACAGAGCCACTTCCGGTTTTCTGGTAGTTTGTTGGAGATGGGAGTCTCATGGTCTCTCCTGCCCGGGCTGGCTTTGAACCGCAATTCTCAGATCTCAGCCTCCTGAGTAGCTAGGATTACAGGCGTGAGCCACCAGCGCCCAGCGTACATTGTATTCTTGACTGCATTATCCCCCTCTTCTCTTCTTTATTCATCTACCTGGTTCTCCTCCTTGACCCCACTCCACCTCTTCCAAGTACCTACTTCCTGCTATTTATTTTGCTGAACTTTGCCTTTCTAAGGAATTATACTGTTTGAGTTCTCCCTTGAGTCACATTTTCACTCTATCAAATAGAATATTATATTTACAGCTTTTAAAATAGCGTTAGTAATAGTTACATGTTTAACAAATGAATATGCTTAGTGGAATGCCACATGATCTATTATGTTTTGACAATGTAGTAATATGTCCTAATGTTTAAAATTAATTAAAGATATTGTGGGATACACAATCTAGTATTCCTAATAGAAAGATAATTCTTTGTAAAAGAAGGTCCAAGTGGAATGTCTACATAGGCTAATTCTAAGTACAGAGGTATCCTACTCATTATTGAGTGTGTGCTATGTAGAGTTAATTGGGTTTCTTAGTGTATTTGTTGTTACCTTTTATTTGGGCTCTTTATATTTGTTCCTCAATAATTTTTCAAAGTAAAATTAGATTTTCCTGTCCAGTTCATATAATGAAATTTTAAATAAGTCCCATTCATTTTTTTCAGGGATGCTATTATAAAGGGGTGTGGCTCAAATAGTAGACTTTAAATAGACTTTTAAAAAGTCTATTTAGAACCTTTGAAAACTTAACATTTTATTTATTAATGATTTGATATGGCGAAGTTTCTCCAGGAAATTTCTCTGGCCAGTTGACAATTTTGCTGCACATGGATTCCTGCTCCCTTTATTTTTAGCAGATGTAAAATTCAATATTATCTTATTCCTTTATATTTTTATCCTCATCTGAATTTTACTGATGAAGAAAACATAATCACCTGAACTGATACTCATTTTTGTACTTCGCACTTTATTTTACTATGAATCATAATTCTTTCATGTGAAAACTAAACCAGTCTATTGGAGTGTAGAATGTGTTAGCAATATCGAATTTTTTTTCAGGTGAATTTTTCTTTTACACACAAAATTATACACTTATGCAACTTATGTCTTCCAAGATTGGATAAAAATATGATTGCTGTGTAACCAAAAAGGATTTTGTTCTGGGAACTGAACCCAAGGCATCGAGCCTGTTAAGTAGGTTGTGGTAGCTTCTACCTTGAACCACATCCCTAGCCACCTATCACTTTAGCTATTTATCAGGTGGGGGTCTAGCATTTTTCCAAGGCTGGGCGTGGAACTATGGTTTTCTCATTTATTACTCCCTCATAGATGGCGTGAACACATGCCACTGCACTTGCTTTATTGATTGAAACTGGATGTTTTTAACTTTTTGCATAGCCCTGAACTAAAACCCTCCTCTTTTCTGACTCCCAGGTAACTGAGATTACAGGTGTGAGCCTTGGTACCTGGCTGTATTTTGCTTTTGGATAGGGTCTTGGTAACTTTGCCTGGGCTGTCGGAGAACTTGTGATCTTCGTGCCTCTATCTCCTGAGTAGCTGTGATGGAAGCATATATCACCATGCCCACACAGCACATATACATACATGCACACATACAACAATTATATGATGCTTCTTCATTTTCTGGGAGAAAGTGTCCTTTTATATTTTCACAAGTCCTTTCTTATTTTCTTGAATAAATGTCTTTGTATGGTAGAGTGAATCAATTAGGGCAAGAGTTGGAGAAGAAAATGGAACTAGGGGATATTCCTCTCTTGCTATATATTTTTCTACTTCACTATACACTTGTGAAAATCTGTATACTGGTTTTTATGAGAAACTCCTTGACTGCTTGACTGTTCTTGGTTTGAACTTGTAGGACTGAAGAAAATGTGAAGGTCACGGCGACAAATCGCAAGTCTCTCCATGAAATATTCTGTAAGATCTGCTGCTGTGTTCTTCTTTTGGAAAAGAGCAATCACACATGATCCTTCAGCAAAGTGTCTGTGGTGATGTGTCTTTTAGAATAAAGTGTCTTCTTGTGTGACATTACTGAAAATGTGTTTATGGGTTAGCATTTTTAAGTGTCAGTGAATAATATTGACTTTACTGAAAATTAAAGTTTGGCAATTTTCAACTACAAGTTGAAAGTCCTTAGAATTATACACTCAAAAGAATTGTAACTTTCAGGACCTCTTTAAACATACTCGTAAGTGTGGGGTTGTGTTATATGTGTGTGTGTGTGTTATATGTATAGCTACACATATGTGTATCTCTCTCTTATTTCTCTTTTTCTTTTTTTCTTCCAGTCCTGGGGTTTGAACTCAGGGTCTGGGCACTGTCTCTGAGCTGCTTTTGCTCAAAGCTAATTCTCTACCACTTGAGCCACACGTACCACTTCCATTTTTTTCTGTTTATGTGGTACTGAGGAATCAAACCCGGGGCTTCATGCAAGCTAGGCAAGCACTCTACCACTAAGCCACATTCTCAGCCCTCTGTTTTTCTTTTATCTCTTAAGAAAACAAGCAAATGTATATAACACAGAATAATAATGAAGTCAGGCACAAGTGGCTCACGCTGTAATCCCAGCAGGAGGCTGAAGTCTGAGGATCATGGTTTGAAGACAACTTAAGTAAGAAAGTTCATAAAACTCTTATCTCCAGTTAATCACAGAAACAGCTAGAAATGCTACTGTAGCTTAAGTGGTAGATCACTGGCCTTGAGCAAAAGGAGCACAGGGGACAGCATCTTGGCCAAATTCAAGGCCCAGGACCAGCAATAAGTAACTAACTAATATAATATAATGATCTGGGACACAGTGTGATGACTTTAGGTGTAACTTCCTGCTAAATCAGAACACATTTCTAAATCACAAACTAATCACAGATCACAAACCAATCACTAATCACAAACTAATCACTAATCACAAACTAAAAGAAGCAGTTTAATAAAACTCAACAATTCCCTTGTTAAAACCAATTTTACTGTTTTCTAAATACTTAGAGGAGAGAAGAGACTTTAGAAAATAAAGGAAGTTCCTGGGGACTGGGAAGGTGGCTAAAGGTAGCGCACTTGACTTGCATGCCTGAGGCCCTGGGTTCGATTCCTCAGCACCATATAAGCAAAAAAAAAAGCCCGAAGTGATGCTGTGGCTCAAGTGGTAGAGTGCTAGCCTTCCTTGAGCTGAAGAGCTGAGGGACAGCGCCCAGGCCCAGAGTTCAGACCCCACGACCGGACACACACAAAAAAAGGAAGTTCTTAAAAATCAGCAGATATGGTGTCATGTTCTATAATCCTTGCAGTTGGGAGGCTGGGCGAGAGGACTGGACCAAAAAGAGAATTCTAGGCCAGCCTTAGCTATATAGGAGAACTTACCTCAAATAGAAAAAATAAATACTGAAAGCTCACCCAAGTGCATTCTTTTGGATTAAGTCTTAGAATGATTTTAAGAATCACTGTGAAAATGGAATCAGGTAACTTAAGAGGACACGTGGAGTTAAAATGGATGGGGAGAAGGATGTAAGCTAGAGATCAGATGAAATTGATCAAGATTCATTGTACTCCTAAACTGACATGTTGAACTGAAACTTTTGAACAACTACTAAAAAAAATTGAAATAAGTTATATAAAAATAGAAAATGAGGGCTTGGAAGGTGGCTTAGTGGTAGAGCGCTTGCCTTGCATGCATGAGGCCCTGGGTTTGATTCCTCAGTACCACATAAGCAAGGAGGAAAAAGCCGGAAGTGGTGTTGTGGCTCAAGTGGTAGAGCACTAGCCTTGAGCTGAAGAGCTGAGGGACAGCGCCCAGGCCCAGCGTTCAGGCGCCACGACTGGACCCAAAAAAAAAAAAAATACAAAAGGAATTAGTGTACTTTTGACAATGTGTATCAAGTGAAACTGGAAATTCAGTTTAAAAACATTTTTCAGTTTTGAGAGAAACTGATATCCTTGGGAAACTTTAAACTCTCAAAGATGATTTTGTTGTAACTTTACCACATATTATTTACATATTAATCTATGAGATACACAGTGATGCAGTGATACTCTGATTTCAAAATACAATGTGAAATAATTAAAATATGTTTTGAAGCCCAATAATATAATGCCTTTTGCTTGGCTCATCTTGCTCAAAGTGGTTTTGGTGATTTTGTGTGTTTGTTTATGTGTTTGAAAGAGAGAGAGAGCCAGAGAGCCAGAGACAGTGACAGAGACAGAGATAGAGACAGAGAGACAGATACAGTGACAGAGACAGAGACTGAGAGAGGTTGACAGAGAGATTGACAGAGGATTCTGTATACATCTAAGATTATTTTCCATTTCTGTGAAGAACGTCTTTTGTGTCTCTGTGTGACTCTGCCAGTATAAACTCAGGACCTGGTGCTCTTGCTCAGCCTTTTTGCTC